CCTTGAATCTGGAGGTTTCTCAACCCACTTCTCAGAGTGGAGGTTTTTGAGGCGGCAGCCCGTGGTTATGTAAACAACTCCCGCAGAGAGAGCACACTACATGCGTATATTTCACGCACGCGCAGACCAACGACATGTTTCAATCAACAACAATGGCGCCAGAGTATAACATCCTGCTTTCTGAGCTACGACTGATGGAATATATTTTAAGTCTCGTTGTTAATCTATGCCAGAATGTAGCTGCTGTGACCGACATCTGTGTTGGAAGAGACGCCCGTCGGATCAAGTTCGAAATCGCTGAACGAGCCTCTTGAAGCACTATAACATACTAAATGTGCTAAATAATAACAGTTTATCAGTAATGAACAGTATTTCTGTTAGTGGTGGGAGATGTAATGAAGCCATCTGAGCTAATTGAAGCTATTTGGACATTATGTAATTCAAGTTGTGTGATTTAAACGATGATGCAAAACATTGCATGTTATTAAAGTTGAAAATGAAAACATCAGGTTTAATTTTTATTTATTTATTCAACACCACAAACTGTATGTTACACAAAACACTGATAATTAAACTGCACACACTATTAAAACAAGTTAACTGAACTGTAAACTACATTAATGGACTGTATTCTTCCTCTCTATTGTCATCCTAGATTCTGACGCCATGTTGTTTATCTGGCTTGTTCAGGCTGTCACCCCTTTGCTTAAAGTAGCTTAAAACACTACAAAAGAAAACAAACATGCACAGCGGACAGGAAAACATAAAATAAAAATACAGATACATATAGCAGCAGAAGCTAACTAAAATGGCCAACAGTGGCCATGTCAACCCATGTCACATCAAGGGCACTCCCTCCCATTTTTCTTAAAGAAACACGCTCAACTATCCATCCTGTGGTTCAAACAGTCTTATACTGCCATCAGGTGGTCAAAAATGGAAGTACACTCCAAGCAAATCAACATTTCTTCTAAAATTTGACAATTAATTATTGCTAAATTTCAAACAATATTATCGTTTATCGTAATAATTTCTGAGAAAATTAATTGCCCAGCAAAATTTGTTATCATAACAGGCCTACCTAGTCATACGAGACTTTTTTTTTTACAGCTCTCGTTTATTTATTAATTTTTTTTCCATGAGTTGACGCGACCTGTCAATCAATCTAGTAGGCGTGTCAGCAAATGACCAATTCGAAGCTAAATGAGTCATAATATTATCCAAACTCTGACACGATAAAGCAGGGTTCACCAAATGTTAACTATGGAAAATGAAGACTGTTGAGCATCTTATTAAGTTATACTTTGATATTGGTTTTACAAATGAGATAGTTAATCTGTTAGCAGATCATCATCAGTTTATTGTCAGTATCAGGACTTTAAACCTGTTTACAGTAAGGTGGTACACTCTGATGGGCTGCAGCGCAGCTCTCTGCAGGTAAGGAGCATTTAGCTTCAGACTGGCCATTTGCTGACACGCCTACTGGATAGATTGACAGCCTCCGATTTGTGGGGAAAAAAACAAAAGGAGAGCTGTTAAAAAAAAAAGTCTCGTTTGACTTTATTCTCATAATACTATGACTTTATTCTCATTATTTTATGGCTTAAATTTTTTTTTTCTTAACATGGCCCTATAGCTCTGTCGTAAAATCCCTGTTAATTGCCAGCCTTCAATATTTAAAATTCTAGGTTCATTCCCATTTATTCTTGATAATACCCACAAATTCTTGCTAATTTCAATGGAAAGTTCCCCATTTTGATAATTCTTAGTATTTTGTTACTCTATTTGTTAATTATCTTGTTAAACAAGAGCATGACTGCTTTAACAATCATACATTTTTTTTAAATTAATTTATGACTGACTTTTGTCTTCATCCATCCATCCATTATCTTTACCCACTTGTTCCATTTTGGGTCACGGGGGTCGCTGGTGCCCATGTCCAGCAATCACTGTGCGAGGGGCGGGGTACACCCTGGACAGGTCGCAAGTCCATCACAGGGCCACATAGAGACAAATGAGACAAACAACCACTCACTCTCTCACTCACACCTAGGGACAATTTAGAGTTACCAATCAGCCTAACATGCATGTTTTTGGTCTGTGGGAGGAAACCGGAGCACTCGGAGAAAACCCACGCATGCACGGAGAGAACATGCAAACTCCACCCAGAAAGGCCCCTGAACCGGGGTTTGAACCAAGGACCTGCTCACTGAGAGGCAGCAGCTCTACCAGTTGTGCCACCGTGCTGCCCGACTTTTGTCTTCAGTGTAACAATAATCATCATAATGTGTCATTAGCAATTGTTATTGTTATTATTATTATATCCCCATCGAAAGCATGACATATTAGGATATAGTCTCCATCTGTAAACTTTTTCTTGTCTGGACCATAACTTCAGATCTGCTCAAGATAATCTATTGAAGCTTCACATTCATATGTTGCATTCAGGTGTAATGACAATAAAGGTCTATTCCAGGGCTATTCAAATGGCGACCCGGGGGCCTGATTTGGCCCCTGGGTGAGCTCAGTTTGTCCCACCAATGGGTTCATTTAAAAAAAAAAAAAAAGATTTTAAACCATAAAACAAACTTAATTACGATAATTGCTGGATGTCTGGCCCCTGAGCTCTTGACGCTCAGTAACTGTGGCCTCCTGAGCAATTTAGCTGAATAGCCTGGTCTATTCTATTCTATTCTGTTCTATTCTATTCTATTCTATTCTGTTCTGTTCTGTTCTGTTCTGTTATATTATTGCTGGACGGAGTTTCACATACACTTTTCCCTGCTTCAAGATCAAGGACACAAATCAAGGTCAAATGTTATGCATGATCTTTGCTTGTCTGGGCCATTTGATAGGCGTATGATGTGTATGGATGTTGTACTAATATGATGTTTGGAGAAAATATAAGGAAGTGACCAACACTGTGGACCCAACCTCCACAGTAGGAACCATTTTTTTAGCATATATTAACTAGTATCAAGTAGGGGATATGCATTTTAAGCAAAAACACTTTTCAAATACCTCAGGTAATTATTTAGTTTTTTTCAAATATTCAACTTCCCCCTCCAATTCGTTTCTGCTGTTTTCATCTAATTCGTCCACCTGCCAGCTACCTCTGCTAATATAAGACCAACTTGAAGCAATTCTCACAGCATGTACTTATTGGTTTTTTTTTTGCCTTCAGGGCTAATAATACTGCTCAACAATTGTCAGAACAACAACAGACTGAAAGCAGAAAAAGCATCCTAAAGAGCACTAATCTCAGTTGCTATTTATAATTTAGGACTGCTTCTTGTTTCAGGTTTGCTGAAAAATAACCGCATCCGCACAATTAATTTTATTTAATCACCCCTAGTCTGGCAGCTGCTGTTAATCCTGCTAGCCAGGATCTTTAAATGTTTACAGGTCCAACAGTTTAACATGGATCAATCATTGCGTTCTGACAATTAAGCTGAGGCTCATTTTACTGGTATATACTGGTGTATACCGGTATACCAGGTATATGCCTGGTATATAACCTGGCAGGGGAGATACCATGATCACAAAGGTGGTTCACCCAGGGGGAGGTTCATCCATTGTACCCTGGTTGTGCTGACCCTTGCGAATTCCCCACGTGTGAATCTTGACTGCATAATTTCTGGTAGTGGGGGACTGCGTTCATACTCTTTATTGGGGCCAAGATGTAGGACAGCTGACTCAGGACCAGAAAGTTGCAGATTCAACTCCCCGCCATACATGTTGTAGTGTCCTTGAGCAAGACACCTGGTCCTTAACTGCTCCCCGGGCGCTTGCATAGCTGCCCGCTGCTCCACCTGGGTATATCTCATGTGTGATGGGTTAAATGCAGAGAACTAATTAAGTGAATTAAGGTGGAACCTCTAGACTGAGGAACAGCTTATACCCTGAAGCTGATAGAATCATAAATCCCTAACCAGGATAATCACTATGGGGGGTGGGGGGTGGGGGTTTACTGTAATGGCACGTTTATTTGTGATACATGACTTATGTGCTGCTGGTCTCATGCTGCTGATTATCTAATGCTGTGGGGTATTCATTCATATCCGTCTGCTCACCACAGACCCATGTTCGGGCTGCTGTTGATACACCATTTTTTTTACATTATTAACATTTAGCGTATATTTTAAATCTTTAGCGTACTGTTTGGCATTCGTTTAGTGTACATCTTAGATTCTTATGTACTGTTTTTTTTTAATACTTCATATTTTTGATATTTTTGGGTGTAACTGGGACCTTGAGTACACAATTTAGTTCCACCTCATGTACCATATGTGATGCGAATGACGATAAACTTGAACTTGAACTAATTTCATTCTATGGGAACATACAATGCTGACAACACATAGCACTTACTTACACTTTTGATCACAGTTTCCACCTTTACTTTCTATTTTCCTTTCAATATCAACTCCAATGGAAGAAAAACACAAATACACTGAGTTTTTAGGGGAAGAGGGGGTATGTGGTAAGTGTTCTGTTAGAAAAAGCACAGCAGCTGGAAATGCAACTTTAGGAGACAACTCGGCACATCGCTACCAGGCCCCAGTGTAAAAATAAAATCATCCCATTGAATTCAACTATTTTCATTTGACTTTGAGTATTAAATCACTGCTGCCCTTACCTAGTATCTACAATTGGACTCCGTCTGCGAGCGTCATTCCAGGGCGGGTATAAAAGGTGTGGTGAGGGTACTGAAAATGGCAAGAAAAATCTTTTTGGTGAGTACCAAGGGTGTAGTAGTGCCACGACTGTTCACATTAAAGGCTCTTTCACAAGATGGACTGAGACATGTTCTGGCCTCTGTGTCTCCTGAATGGACTGAGGTGGCAAGGGGATTTGAAGACAGTCCGCACCTCTGGTGTGCCTCAGTGCTGCCAAGCAAAGTAGTAACAGAGCCAGCCAGACCAGCCGACGTGATAAAAGATGTTCGACACACATTTAATGCATCGCGCTCCACTTCAGCCCAGCTTAGTTCTGCTCCTCACCTCATTTGGCTCTGCTTTGCCCGCTTCATTTCTGAAAGCTCACGTCTGAGCGGTAAGCTTCTATCTGTGATTCATGAGCATCCAGGGAGAAGAGAAAGATGGACTGGTTTGTGTGGCCATTTTGCTGATCTGTTTTATGGAAGAACCTTTAAAGAAGATTTCCACATTTGCAGCAATCCAGTCACTTCTACGAACCGTCTTTCACAGTCAGCTGGAGGGCTGTTATTGTAATTTACTTCATTAGCTGATGATGTAGTGCAGTGTCTCTCCTGAAATGGGCCATATCTCACAGGTTTGTGTTTGGAAACAGTTTATTATGCCAAGGTTCACACGTAATGTGATTTTTATTTTTTTTTGCTAGTGAACATGATGGACACAAATACCAATAATAATTTCACAACTATCTTTTCATTTTCATATAAAACCTTTGTATGTTTGAATATAGACACTTTTTTGAAGCGCACATGCGCACGCGTGCGCGCGCACACACACACACACACACACACACACACACACACACACACACACAC